GAGCCGGTTCCCCCCCTCCCACCAACACCGCGCACACCGGTATTCCAGGAAGGATGTCTAGTCCATTCGGAGCAGGAATGGGACTCCATTTTCGGTAGTTGTGAAAGGGAAACGTGTCAGATCGCGCTCCCGCTGTTAGGGGAAATGGGAAAAAATACTGATGGGAGATTCTTACCCTTTAGGGAATTGTGGTGATTTTCGCATTGATGCTTCTCACCACTTAAACCTGCTCGTTACTTCAATCGGATCATGATCTTTGTCCAACCTGCTCGTTGTGTCTCTCAGTTTCCATACTCCATTCTAATCCTGGAGAATGCTTTGTCCCAGGTCATACAAGTAAAGCACCCAAAAGTGGGGATCAGAGAAATATTGTGAAAAAGAAAAAGAAAAATCTATACATATATGAGCGCCAATACAAAGTATACACTCCTGTTTTAGGATATTAATTGCCTTGGGCAAGTACCGCACAGTACTATTCTCTACCTTAGTGAGATTAGAAACCCGCGACGCCTGGGGAGGGCGGACAAAAAAGCAACTGTGGCTGCAGGGGCGGCCAACATCTCCCGTGGGGGGTGGGGGGGAGGGCTTAGGAGTTTGAGGAACAGGTTACTGAGTGATTAAGGTACCACAAACCGATCTATAACCTCAGATACTTGATAAACTCTCTCATCCCATCGATATCCCATGCCCACCAGCCCTTTTGGGACTATCCTAACTGTTACCCCCACCAGGAGTAGTAACCATTGTATCGAAAGTTTGCCCGGACATATGGAACTCTACAGTAACCGTGTCACCCACCCACCTCCACTCCATCCTCCTTCGCAGAGATTAAAAAAAATGCACCATTGCGGCAAAAAAAAAAAAAGACTTGTAAGGTATGATAAGTCAACCGAAAAATCTCGGTATCAGTAAAAACATACCTATGCAGGTCTCATTCAACCACAGAATCACTCCCAACCACCCATTATCTTACCGTACATAGCCGCCGCCTAACGCCTAACCGAGTGACAATTCATGACCACGAACCCTTCCCGGTTGTTCCGACCTACCGCTTTCTCCCGCTCGGGAATAGCTCAAGTCGGATCAGGTCGATGCCAATGGGGCGGGAGTCGGCAAGCAAGGGTTCTCATTACTTTTTTTTCTTTTTTCTTCTTCCTCATTTCATTTTCAATACTTGTACTAGTACTAGTACACTCACTTCGCCGCATGGTTTTAAGTTACTCGCTCTTGGCCAAGGACGGTTCTTTGTGTGGCAGGAATGCGACTTCCTCCGATGGTTTCATGGTTGGTTTCCTCTTAAATGATAAAAGTGACAGTGGGGGGTATGGCTCCGCTCGTGAATTGTGGGTAGCGCAAGGTAATGCTTTATTGTGAGTGTTGGGGGTGGGGTGCGGGTCTCCCCGATACGGTAGCTGGAAAGAGAAGGAGGAGATGAGGATGATCTCAATGGTGTTGGTCAATGGCATTGATGATAGCAATTCGAGGGCGAAGGGAAAAGCGTTGGAAAAACGAGATGCCGCTATCGTGGTCTAATGTGTCGGTTCCTGTATTGCACGATGGAGGTTAGCAGCTCACGCTAAACAACGCCAATTTTCATCATGACATACCGAACCGTACTCGGGAGAAGGAATAAATACAGGTAACGCCAGATGCCGAGTTACTAGGTGTGATACGGCTTTAAGCTTGACACCCATTCACACATATATCGACTTCTTCCCGGACCCGCGTTAATAAGCTTCACCTCAGAATTGGAGCATTCTACGAGTACAATGCCCTCACAAATGCATCCTCCGCCCCCCCGGCCCGCGCCTTTCCTCCTCTCCGGCACCAGATCACCTGACCACCCAATTCTTGCCCCTCTATTTCGGCAACCCTTTCATGACACCTCCCCCTCCTCCTATTCGCCCATACCCAATGCTGCTCTACACGTACTCGAGTGCCGTAGACCCTTTCACCACCACCACCACCTCCCGAACACAGGCCAAGTCAAGCTCAAGCGCTCACTCACTCAACCCACCTACTCACTACGGGTACGGCACGAGCAGAATCTCAGCATGTGAACTGCATCAACCCATTTTCGAAGGGACATCCCTCCTCGACCGACTCCACCACCACCACCGAGCCATGCGCGCATGCGTGAGATCATGCATAGCGCATGAGGCCGAGAAGGAGTGGGTCAGACGGGGGCAGCGAATCACCAAAAACCCACCCAAAAAAGAGTTGGGAAAGTCTAGAAAAACTCAATTGACGTCCAACACTAAGGGAAGAGTTGCAGTTCCTGGCGCGGTATGTTAGTTGAGCTCTGCCATTTTTATCTCTTTCGGAAAATTCCTCGGTGAGGATTTGAGCAAAATTCACATACAAGGTGTTTTTACCCTCCAACGTCTGACCCACTCACCGGTCCAGCGCTCCAAGTGAGATCGAAGACCTGGACATCGGGGGTTATGCAAGCAGAGGTAAGCAGAGAACCCATCAGCTCCCAAAAGCCCTTGGAGATTCAAGAAGAAATCTAGTGAGTAATCAAGACACCGCGAACCAAATCCACAGCCCCATGTTTCCTGATAGATTCCTCCGTTAATTTCCTATGTTCACCAGCGCTTCGGGAAGGGGGGGGGGAGTACAGTACTCGGACTACGAGTACTATCCTCACCACAGTCGCAGTATCACACCTTAACCAAATCAAATTCACCTCACCTCGCCCTACCACGCCAAACCATTCACCATCGGAAGGAATGTGAAGAAAATATACATCACAAGCGCTTCCCAAAGCCCACATAGCATCGCAGCAAACTTCCTCCCTCCCTCCTTCCATCGCTCACCATATAACTTCGGCAACCACAACCTCCCCCTAGGGGAGCACAATACAACCAACTCCAATTCTGTTGGGGAAAAAAAAAACACGTGGTACGACTCGATCGATTTCTCCAATTCATTCATTTCGTATTTTGTTCCTGTTTGGGTCCACATGCCATAGTCTACCTCTCACCGCGATATCACATGAAATGTCAAGTATGATACAGTAAGAGGCGGGGTGGGGGGGGGTTCTATTTTTTTCCCTAAACCCTCTACCCCCCCTCTCCCCTTCTTAGAATGTGCCTCTTTTGACGTATGGAGGGAGGGGGTGGACCCAGGTTAGTTAGTTATAAAGATCGAAGCTTGTTTTAGACCTTTATGAGTAGAAGCCGGAGGAGCCGGGAGAGGGAAGGGTATAGTATAGTATAGTACGATGATGATGACGGGCCCCGGACGGGGACACACAAACGCGCTAACACGCGGAGGGGACTTGCCGTGGCACTCGTATGGTAAGGTAACCGGTAGTGCGGTGCGGGAAGGACGTGCGATACCTTTCTTCACAGCTTACTTAGTAACAGTACTGTTCAATACAGCACAGTAACTCTTCATAAGTAGTCTATCGTCGGAGGGAAGACCAATCTCCAGGGAAGGCAAGTAAGTAAATAAATAAATAAATAAACCCACCGGTATAAGCATGACAACCAACTTCACACCGTTCTCGTTTAGAACCCACATCCGCCCATCTGCCGTCCCTTTAAAATCCCCTTCCTCCCGTGCATGATAATCCATATCGTGACCCCACCGGGAAACAATCCCAAATAAGCTTATTATACTATACGAACAAAGTACCCGGAACATCGGTGACCGAAACGGTTACAGTACTAGTACATACCGTACCGGTACAGTACATGACACAAAGCACACGGCGTCACTAACGAGCGAGAACGTAGATACCCAAAAAGTCGATAACCCACACCCTACACCCGCCGGGCAGGAGGTACCCGAACCCTCTTTCTCCCTCGTAGGTTACTATTTTCGGAGACGCATGGATGATTTGCTATTTATGATTTTGTTTTTTGTTTTTGATTTTTCAATCACCCCGCGCTCGGGCGCTTCTCGCCATGAATGGGTATCCATCCATTCGAGGAGCACGTATAATCTTGAGCTTGGAATCTGCCCGTCTATCTGTCGAGTCCCGCCGCTGGAACTCTGTGGAATCGGACACGCGGAGGAAGGGGTTAGTTAGCTCGAGGAGGGCGGGGGGGGGGACACACTTCAATCCTACTTTACCCTTCCCCCCCCCCCCCACTTCCAGATGCGACGGACCGACCCATCGATAAGGTTCGCGGACAAGCGTGTGACGACGTCTCGTCTCACCACACAGGACTCATATCATAAGATATAATACCTATTAAGACGATTTGTGCGTGATGACCTACCTCCGTGCCGACCAAAGGTAACAAAATCTAAGCGTATCGTAGCATAGGGCCGTTAACTAGTCTGTACTCGCGCGGCCAAGGAAGGGAGATGAATTAGATAGATTATATGATCATGGCTTGCGACGAGATGGGATGGTGGGAGGTTAATTACATGGAATTCATCCTGACGTGCCCCGTCTTCAGTAGTGGGTAGGATTCCGAATGCGGCATCAAACTAAACCCGTGCATGTCCCCCCCCCCACTGTCCTAAATCACCGGCGGGAATCATTGACATTTGGGAGCGGGAAAGAGGGTACCGGTATTACAGGGCTATATATTTGGACGGCTAACCCCCATAGGCCATCCGTCCGTTTGTATTCAGGCCCTCACGCTCGAACTGAATAGAGCGATAGTATCGTCCCCCGAGGCAAAGATCGAACAATTCCTCGGGGTCATAAATTCCGTTGGCCGGGTCACTATTGAGTGACCAAAGCCATACCTTTGAGACTACCGGTAAAAAATTTTGAACATCAAAGGACAAAACACGCACTAAAAGGTCACGGAATACGGGAACGAAGTGATCAGTGAGACAACCACATCGCGAGCTAGTTGGCACAAAAGACAACGAGCGAACCTCCATCACTCCAATCCACCATCTCGTCCATCATATGGGGTTGGCGGGCAAGCGGGCCCGGTTGCTTCAAGCTTTATAACGGGGAAAAAACATAGAATAGGTAGCTCAATTAATGCCAAGACCTACAGGTAGTACAAATGATAGAAACCCTCACACCAGCATTCTAGACAAACGGAAACCGGGAAAGAACGGTGCTAGGAAAAAGCCAGAATGAAACTAAAGACATCCGTTTTGTATGAGAGGAAAGAGGAAAAAGGAAAAAGACTCGAATCCAGATGCGCCCCCCCTAAACTTTTCATGACCTCGTTTCTCAAGCTTTAGACAAGAAAGTAAAATAATAACAAAAAAAGGTGCCGAATAAAAGAGAAAAAAGAAGGAAGAGGCAAAGAGGCAAAAAACAGAGGTATCGAGAAAGGCTGATAATAGCTCATCTGTACAAGAACCGAATGATTGAAGGAAAAGAACAGAAGATAGCTAGTATTACAAGTTTTGAACGTAAGGAAACTTACTCACAACCCTTCACAAGAATAATTCGCTCAGCCTTTCATCTCGATATCTCCGCTCCGGTTTCCTCGGACAGCCCTTTCTTCCGGAGTTGCGGGGCGGCTCGGATCTGGTTTAACTTTAGAATTGGACTTGGCCAGCTGCTGCAGAGGAGAGTGCTCTTGGGGGGTTGTTACGGCAGTGGTGGTGGCTGGGGGAGTCTGTTTATCAGAGGTTGTATAAGAACCTATTAGAATATAAATTAGAAAGCCGTCACCCAGTTCGGGAAGGGGAAATGCTTCCACCTACCATGCGACTTCCCCGCTTCCGGAGTCTGTGTCTCCCTTCTAGAGGGAGAAGACAGCCTTGAAGTCCATTCCGCTTGGAGCTTCTCCCTTTCCACACTAATACCGTTCACAAACACCTCCAGGCTCCTAATTTTACTGCCAAAATCAGACACGCCGGCATTCGCAAGATCAGTCACAAGGTTCTTTAGTTGACCCTCGTTAGAAGCATCAATCGCAAACTTTTTGTTGACCCACGAGTCAAGATCTTCCTTGTCTTTATGAGAGCGATGATCGTACTCAGTAGGCGACGTTATCGCCGGTCCGTACTTTGCAGCGGCAGCCCTCTTACGAGCCTCAGGCCCACCTAGAATCTCAAAGGCCTGGGTAATCGTGTAGAGCTTGGCCTCATGGTGTCGAAGAGCATGGATGGCATGGTTTCTCTCGTCCAAGAGTCGGCCGACATCGATTTCCAACTTGCCCTTGATATCTTGCAATTCCAGATTTCCGCGCTGAAGGTCGTTGTTCCACGCCTTTTGCGACATGATCTCGGACACCAGCCTTTCCCTCTCTGCAACAAAACTCTGCTCAATTCCCTTGAATCTTCGAACATCCATCTCGTGCTGCCTCAACAGTTCCTGCCTTTCTAATTTTTGAACCTGCTCCTCCAAACCATTAACCTCCGCCGTGACTTTAGCCTGCTTCCGGTTTGCCTCGAAAAGACGGTTTCTAAGTTCATCAAGATCCATATCATCATCCTGATTCTGTTCAGGATGTCGAGGGCGGACCTCCGGTGACTGCGGATCGGGAGGGGGTGGTGGTCCAGGCATCATCCGAGAGGGCGGGGGTGGAGCTCCAGGCCCCATTGGTGGCAGGGAAACTGGCGCTGCTGCCGGAGTTCCACCACCACTCTTGGAGATACTGTTACTACGCAGTACTCGTGCGGCTGGTGAAGGATTCGGTCCAAGTGGTGACGCCTGTTGAGGATGAGGAGGCTCCCTACCAGGTTGAGGAAGTTGGGGAGGTTGGGGAGGTTGAGCAGGTTGAGCAGGTTGAACAGGTTGAACAGGTTGGGGAGGTTGAGGAGGTTGAGGAGGTTGAGGAGGTTGGGGAGGTTGGGGAAGTTGGGGAAGTTGGGGAGGTTGAGGAGGCCCAGCGGAAGGCCGCTCAAGTTTAGGAGCAATCTTGCCTACTTTTGGAATAAAGGGAGCATTGGTATTAACCGCTGCCCACATTGGTGTCTGTGGCAAGGGCATACCAGGTTGATCACGATGGGTTGGGGTCCCCGGAGACCCAGCTGGCGCTAGTGGCTGGTGCACTCTGTTGGGGTAACTAGGCAGAGGGATCCCAGGTTTGGGGGTTTCTCCATGAATCACTCTTGGGCTACCATCATCCCTCATTCCACCACCACCGCCAGGATACGCCGGAGCCTCGTTGCCATGAACCTGAGGCGTCATTTGGCGAGATTGGTTTCCGGGTGCGTTCATATCGCCATCGGGTTGCGGTCGGTTGTTGTTGTTCGAGATATCGACAGAAAAGGTGGGCATTGACGAGGGGGGAGGCCCGGATGCCGACGAGGACATTGGGCCCGCGGAACCATATGACCGCCTCCCTCTCTTAGCTGAGCTTGGGCCGCCGCTATTAAGATCGGGAGGACTGTCAGCACTAGCCTCGGAGGCTCGCGAGCGTTTTAATGCGCCTACTAGGAGCAAACGACCAAGGTTAGCATATTATACAGCGGGAAACAACAAACACACAGCCAAACTGGTGCATGGTAACAATGATTAATTAATACTCGCGCACTCACGAGAGATGGCTGTGATGTCTATTTCCTTCCCAAACTGTTTTTGAAACCAGGAAGCGAGCTCACGGTATGTTTTTTTGGGATTATTCTCGTAGTAGGTTACGAGTTTCTCACTTTCAATCCCGATACGCTCCCGATACTTGGATCTCTTCTTAATGACCATATATTCGAGATCAGATGGTTGATCGGACCTTCTCCGTCTCAACTCGATCTCTTTGCCGAATTTGCCCTCGAACCATTGAAGGTATTCAGCCTTCTCTTTCCCCGGATTGTCGCGTTGGTAGGCGTAGAACTCATCCGTCTCGGCAGTGGTGGGACCCAGAAATACCTCTTCCTTTTCGGCGAGGGACTTTTGGTCGTTCGTCATGGCCGGAAGAGGGGGGCTGAGCTGCGGGGTCGAGCTGCCCTGTTGTGCCAGTAGGTGTTCAATGGTTGGTATCTGGGGGCCTCAGCCAGGCAGAGGACCTCCGTTTTGAGTGGTCGGGGTTGAATTATGGAAGCGATGGAGTATAGCTGTGTACGACGTACCAAATTTTTTTTTTAACACTGCTTAGTGTGTCGTGCAGAAAAATACGAAGGCAGAAAGAAGGGAGGGAGGGAGGGAGGGGGGAAAGGGTGGGGGGTATGATGTATGTACGTAGGTGCGAGGGAAAACTTTGAGGGGAGGGAAGAGAGAAGGGGAAAGATGAAGAAGGGATTGATTGTATCGAGTATGGTTTGGGGGGGGGAGGCAAGTACCTACTAAAGTAGCTAAGGTAATAAATTGTTTGCTATCTCTCCTTAGACGGATGCAAGTATTCGCTAAATGTGCCCAATCCTTCGCTGTGTTCTAGGACTAGATCCGGACGATGAGGACACTCGCAGGCCTAAAAGTAAAACCTTAGTAACTATGTAATAGACACCGGAGATTAGTGTTGTAATCAATGAGGAATGAAAGATATAATTGGAATTCGAGAAAAGGTCGCTAGACAGGGGGGGGCGAACATCGTAAGGGTTAAGGGCGGGTATTGGGGGTTTAGAATGTATAGGTAAATATGCATAGGTGCGGTAACAATTTGGGGGGCACAGCATACAGTAGTATGGATGTGGATAATTAAAAAACAGTAGTGCTTGGTGCGTAAAACACGGCAACAGTTGTCATGTAAAAAAACAAACCCAAAAGAGAGCGGGCCATGACCGGAAAAACCTCATGAACGAGCGGATGGGAAGGTGAAACATATACAGAACATATCTGGATGAAAACAAATACCTAATAGGGATATAATAGGTTTTCCTATCCCCTTTGTTACAGCCCGTCTATCGTCCCGCT